GAGCTCGACTGCGCGGGGCCCTACCCCCCCGTGTCCACAGTAACGGAGCAGGGAACACTGGCCGCGGTGCTTGGCGCTGTATTGTCCTGACCCTGGCTTCCATGGGAAGTGCCGATCGGTTGCAGAAGCAAACGTAGCCTGGAAGAAGGCCGAGCTGCAGCTGAACGCGGGTGCTAAGTCCTGTCCCTTTTATAGGAGCCCTTGCAGAGGAAAAAGCTGACCCATTGCCTGACGCCACCCGGCCTCTTAGCCCAGAAGGCGGTTCTGCTTTTGTAAGTCCTGGAGAGCCTCAGGAGCCGGTGCAGTACAAGACGGCAGAAATTGCTGATGCGATGCTGGGTAGCGGGATTCCTGCCGATCGATCTGTGGTGCTGTCAGTTATTCCAGGAGAAGTGAAGGCCAAGCGCATGTCTGAATTTGGCATTGGCACCTGCGATGCAACAGCAGAAGATGCTGAATGTAGCACGGGGACTAGCCTTGCTTCTCACTTCTCACAACTTGGTTCACGTGTACAAGAACAAGCAGGGGACTCTCATGTAGCGCTAGAAGCTGTGCCTACTTCACCAGCTGAGGAATCTAATAGCACTGACAGTGTGAAATCTCCCAAAGTGAACTGTGAGGAAAGAAATATTACCGGGATTGGAAACTTCACCCTGCAAATCCTGAATGTTTCACAAGTAAGTAGGAAAGCATTGTTTGCTACTTCCTGTGTTTATCTTGATACTAGGGTTTGTGTATACAAATATAGTTTTTACCCAAATGCTATACTAGGGATGTAAACAACTAATTGACTACCTGATATGGGGACTTGCCACAGGCCAAATAAGTTCCCTACCCTTGCTCCAGTGAGTTTTATGGCACAAAAAGGATAACTTAAATGTTTAGTATGTTGGTGGGAGAGAGTTAGCATATAGGGCAATATGGAAATACTGTTCTGAAATACAAAAATAGCAAGATATACATAGTGCAACTGAATAATGTCTATGTTCCCCAAGTGCAAAGGATGATCCTGTACACATCATGACTTGTGCCAGCTTCCCTGCAGCAAATGTTTTCTTTCATCCATTTCCTTCCCTCATGAATATTTTGCAGCACTTGTTTCTGCTAAAAGTACCTAATTATAATTTTAGGTGGCTTTTTTTATAGAAAAACCCAACAGATTCCTTAGACGGTAAAAATTTAAAACAAACATATTTCAGATAAATACTACTATGAATTACATCTGGTAGGAAAATGGAAACTTGTCACAAAAATTGGGTTGAAATTTCATCTTTGGCATTTCAGACCAGCTGTACTAAGTATGAAAAATAACTGAGACACCTTAAAAGTCCTTCAGCTGACCTTACCTTTCCTTAGTCCATCCTGTACTTTTCAGCACATTGGGTTACCCACATTCTCCATGCTTGCATATCAGCTGCCATGTGACCAAGTCCTCCCATTTCAAATTAAATTTAATGTTGTTGATAATCATATGCTTCCAAGTCATCCTAGGTCTGTCCATCTTTCTTGTTGGATTTTCTGGCTTCCAACTGACAGCCCATAATTGGTAGTCAGCTACAAACCATTCATAAATAGGTATGTAGTAGTGTAGTTGTTTAACCGATAAGCAAAAGCAGCAGCCCAGCTTTGTTTTGGCTTGTGCAGGATCTGGGAGCTCAGACCTGCTCCCTCTTCTGACCTTACCTTTCCTTAGTCCATCCTGTACTTTTCAGCACATTGGGTTACCCACATTCTCCATGCTTGCATATCAGCTGCCATGTGACCAAGTCCTCCCATTTCAAATTAAATTTAATGTTGTTGATAATCATATGCTTCCAAGTCATCCTAGGTCTGTCCATCTTTCTTGTTGGATTTTCTGGCTTCCAACTGACAGCCCATAATTGGTAGTCAGCTACAAACCATTCATAAATAGGTATGTAGTAGTGTAGTTGTTTAACCGATAAGCAAAAGCAGCAGCCCAGCTTTGTTTTGGCTTGTGCAGGATCTGGGAGCTCAGACCTGCTCCCTCTTCCCCCCACACAGGGGCTGCTGCCACTCCAAGCTGTGCAGCAGTGCCGGCTGAAAGGAAGCCGGTCACGAGGGGAACTAGTTTTTAAACTTGCTCCCCTCGTGGACCAGCTCTCACCTGGCACCCCATGCTGCTGTCTCTGATACAGAGGCAGCAGCGCGGAGTGGCAGGCAACTCGTTGGGAGTGGGGATGGAGCGCACTGGCTGCCGGCCTCATCACCTGGGACTATATAATAGTCAACTAATAGATAAAAATCTGTGAGGTTAATCAACTGTTCAGTTAACCAATATTTAACATCCCTATTCATACCATGTGTCTTTGCCATTGATGTCGTCTTACAAATTATTTGCGATAGAGACCTCACTTTAGCCATTTTTTTACCTCATTGTTTTTCTTTCCTCATATCTTACCTCTAATATTCCCTGCAATCACTTATGATGAAACACACACAACTTCTGAGCATCTGTTTTCTTCAGTTGCCAGGTTTCAGTGCCGTAGGTTGCTATGGCTACAACATTGGCTGACTAGACACTTAGTTTTGTATGTAAGGATATGGTATTAAGTTTCCAAATGTTCCTAACTTTACTGAAGGCTGCGTTTGCTTTGCTGATCCTTATTATTTCCTCAGCGCATGTACCATCTTAGCTTACTGTGCTTCCAAGGTGTTTGAATCAACTTACCCTCTCTAGGTCTTCATCCTTGATTTTGATGTTTAAATCTGTATCCAATTCCCATTTTACATTTCTTTACATTAAATTACAGTCCTACCTTTTCTATTGTTTCTTTAACTTCATTTGTGCATGGATGAAGTTCTTCAGCATTTTCATATAGAAGAGCAATATCGTCAGTAAAAGCGTTGCCAGGTTTCAGTGCCGTAGGTTGCTATGGCTACAACATTGGCTGACTAGACACTTAGTTTTGTATGTAAGGATATGGTATTAAGTTTCCAAATGTTCCTAACTTTACTGAAGGCTGCGTTTGCTTTGCTGATCCTTATTATTTCCTCAGCGCATGTACCATCTTAGCTTACTGTGCTTCCAAGGTGTTTGAATCAACTTACCCTCTCTAGGTCTTCATCCTTGATTTTGATGTTTAAATCTGTATCCAATTCCCATTTTACATTTCTTTACATTAAATTACAGTCCTACCTTTTCTATTGTTTCTTTAACTTCATTTGTGCATGGATGAAGTTCTTCAGCATTTTCATATAGAAGAGCAATATCGTCAGTAAAAGCTAGATTAAATAATCTCAAATGATTGCTTTTTAAGATATATTGATGATTCTTACATTGCTTGAGGCCATAATCGATGAGGAAGAAAAAAAATGGAGACAGGATGCACCCTTGCCTTACCCCTATCTTAATTTCAAATGACTTACTTAACCCTCTATTTTAACACAACATTTGGAGCTAGTGTATTGTGCCTTCATTACGCTGATAAGTTTAATTGGAATTCCATGTTGTCTAATAAATTTCCACATTGTAGCTCTAGTTACACTAATTGAATGCTTTTTGAAAGTCTATGAAATTAGTATCGAGAGTTCCTTGAAATTCGTTTGCATTTTCAGTAGCATTCCATAAGATGAAAATTGCATCTATGCATGAACAACTTTGCCTGTAACTAGGGATGTGAATGTGTATCTGAGTACACGGTTACATGCAGGTCCCCTCTCACTGCCTCTGTATCATAAGCAGCAGGAGTGTGTGAGAGAGCTGGTGTGTGCCTGCCCCTACTGCCTCTGTATCAGAGGCAGCAGGAGTGTGTGAGGGAGCTGGTGTGTGCCTGCCCCCACACACACAGCTGCCTCTGAACATGTATTTTAACATCCCTACGTAAAACCAGATTGTTCCTTGTGATGAATGATATCCATTTTTCCTTTCATTCTGTTTAATGCAATCATAGCTTAGACTTTTCCTGTGTTGGAAAGAAGTGTCACTCCTGCCAAGCCTTCAACTGACCCATATTTTAAAAAGCAACTTGTCAGAATCTCATCAGGCATTCTTGTTCCCAGAAGGCTAAAGAAAGCCTTTCTTCCTTTTGCTAGCTTCCAGCTTAGTCTTAAAGACTGGTTTAAGTAGGGTAGCAGAACCAGTTTGAGTCTTGTTCATATAACAGAAATTTCTTTTTGTTCCTCCAAATGCTGGGGAGATAAAGGGAGTCTGAAGGAAACATGAACCTGGACACAGTTTATATGAATAAGTTTAGTTTACCAGCACTTTGCTTGTTTCTTTCCTACACTTCTGCAAGCCATATTACCTGTGATTCCCCAGTCTGACCACTCTCTGTCTTGTGATTAACTTCCTTTCATACCCTTATTCCTCTCCCACATTTTCTTCTGGCTCCTTCACTTGTCTATTTTAGGAACAGCTCCACTACCCTTTTATCAGATTAGTTTCTTGGCCTTGTTATGGATTGAAATTCCCCTATTAGAGAAAAAAATGAAGTGATGAATCTTCTAACTTCCCCTTCAGAGCTGTAAGGTCCACTTCTCGAGAAACCGAGAGTCAGCTCATACATCACACATCTGCAGCTAGGGAGTAAGGCCTCTTAGATAGAGAGGAAGAAGAGTACAAAAAGGCATTTTTTCACAGTAATAATCCCCAAATTATTATTTGTCTATCAAGGAGATTCTTATATTTGTGAAATGTAGTTAAGCTTAAAACTGGCCAGACGACATTTAGTTTGTTGAATGTTCATGTAGTGTTGAAATCTGCTAAAACACACTTCTGACTGCAATGCCAACTCAAATTTGCTTATGTTTCTATAGTAATCTCCTGAAATTAATCTGTTACTAGAGTATTATGTAACTATTTAAAATATTTAATTGGCTCCTTTTAAAATCAGGATGTTTTCTTTCACAGGACCTGATGGAGTTTTTAAACCCAAACAGCAGTGACTGTACCTTAGTCTTATTTTATACACCCTGGTGTCGCTTCTCTGCCAATCTGGCCCCTCATTTTAATACTTTGCCCCGAGCATTTCCAGCTCTTAATTTCCTGGCATTGGATGCATCTCAGCATAGCAGGTAACGATAATTACACTTCACCTTATAAAGCTTCACATGCTACTATGTTAATACTTTGTTTCTGATTTTGATAGACCTTATATTTGTAAAATGTGTAGATGGAATATCATGTACTGCTGGAGAAAATTAGAGTTTTTTATTCCCCTTAGTCAGCCTTTGCCTAAAGAAAAGTCAAAGGAAGTAATTTTCTCTCTCACTTTTCTTTTCTCTCTCTATATATAAAAAACGTTTCCTGCAGGATGACAAGATGATGTCATACATCATCTGTGTCCACAGGCTCCGCCCTCGCACAGGCTCCGTGTCCCAGACACTGATTGGGGACCAGCAAAGCTGTCTTGCAGCCCAGCCTTGGCAGATTACGCCTCCCAAGGGTCCTGCCCACTCAGCTCTGGCCACAGTCTTTTGGGAGGCAGAATCTGCCCCGGCTGGGCTGCCAGGCAGTTCTGCTGGTCCCTGAACAGTGTCGGGAGCATGCCCCCAGCCCCCTCCTGTCCCTGGCTAAACACTCTGCCTCCCGGCCAGACATGCTGCCCCCAGCCTGCTCCTGCCCCCTCCCCTGGCCACACACCCTGCTCCCTCGCCCTGGCCAGACACTCTGCTCCTGCACTCACCCCTGCTCCTGCCCCCTCCTCCTTGGCCAGACACCCTGCCCCCCCAGCCTGTTCCTCCAACCTCCCTTGCTCCTACACCCTCTCTCCTGGCCAGACAGCCTGTTCCCGCACCCTACCTCCTACCCTGATCTCGCACCCATAGCCCCATGTGCACCCCACCTCCTGCCCAGATTCTATATACGCATCCCTATCCCACTCACTTGCAGGCCTGCCCCATACACTGAGCTCCTCATTTTTGGTTCCACCCCAGAGCCTAGTGGGCCCACAAAATCCACTAACCCTGGAATCTCAGAAGAGTAAATCTGGCCAAAGCTGGAGCTTCAGGGGAGTGAGGTTTTTCAGTTGGGGGCCATATCAGTGAGGGTTGGGGGTATTTGGAGCGGTGTTTTTTCCTTCTCACTTGTGTGGTCCTCGACTGATTTTTTTCGGTGGATCAGTGGCCGTTCACTCCACCCCTGCCATAAATAAAGACAATGTTGAAACCTTTTTGTGTTGGACATAATATTTTACGTTATTTAAAATGAAGCCTGGCCAAGAAGGCCCCAATTGGGACCCAGCCCCCATCTGGCCGCAGCGTCCTGTCCCTGTCCCTGATCCTGGGGCAGGCCCCACAACCCAGCCCCCATCTGGTTGCAGAAAGGGCTGGTGCCAGCTCCTCTCCTGCTGCGGCACAGGTAGGAGGAGAAGCCACGATCCAGCTATGGCAGACAGAGGGGGGTGACAAGCATAGCAAGCAGGGGGCTTAGCCCCCATGTAATAATGAAGTTAATATTTTCATAAATGTTCAAATGAACATCTTGCTCTCCAAGATGAGGGATTAACAACACTGGCCTCCTGCTGCTCCAGTGTAGGCTGATACCGGGCGCTGCTAATTCATCTGTATCTTGATGTGCACATTCATTTATGGGTTTCTTTTGAGCAAACTGTAAAATATGTCACATCCTGTTCTCTGACCACCTCTCAGTGCATCCTCAAAAGAGAAGAATAAGACCCTTGTGTCCTAAGACAATATTGGAACATGGGTCTCCAAAATGAAAGTTAATGCACTAACCTGCTGCAGAATTTTGTATTGCCTAAATCAGGGGTGGGTAATAATTTTTTGCTGGGTGCCACTTCAGAAATTTTTGAAGAGGTTCCAGGCCGCACAGGAAGGGGCGGGACATCAAGCAGAAGGGGTGGGGCCAAGATACTTCTGGGTTCCCTACCCCCAGACAATGATTGGTCTGAGGGTGAGGGAGTGCCTTCCCTCTCCCTCTCTCCCTCTACCCCCACCTTTCCCATAGGTGCCCATGGCCCTGACATGGGAGGAGACTTCTTGCGCTCCCCTTCCCCTAGGCCAAATAGGGCCTAGAAACGGGGGAGCACACGAAGCCTCCTCTGCTCTGCCCCCACCCTGCGAGCAGCACACAGCGCTTCAAAGCGCAGTGTGCTCCTGGCAGGACAGGAGGAGGAGTCACATGCTCCCCTGCTTCCAGGCCCTAATTGGCCTGGGGGCAGGGGAGCAGCAGGGCCTCTGTGGGCCGGGTCCACCCGCTTGGCAGTCCAGATCCAGCCCACGGAGGCCCTTTTGCCCATCCCTGGCCTAAATTCACTAGTGAAACATTCCCTAATGCCATAAGAAAATAGTTGTGCACTTGCTCTTGTTATTGAATTTAATTTTTAACTTAGTAAAGCATATTTTTTTTCTTAAACTGTTTCTTATATTATTTCTTTCAATGGATTTACCTTATTATTTTGTTGCCTTCTTATTTCCTTCAGTTTATCAACCAGATTTGGAACTGTGGCTGTTCCTAATATACTTCTTTTCCAAGGAGCCAAACCCATGGCCAGATTTAATCATACAGACCGAACCCTGGAAACATTGAAAGCATTCATTTTTAATCAGACAGGTACGTAGGCTAAACTTGAATCAGACCTATGAAGATCAGTGTCAGGTATGGCCTCGGATTGACCTCTCCTTTTTTAAAGAGGCTATATTAGGGCCTCCTGCCATTGCTGGGGGAGGGGCACTGTCCTCCCCTGCTCACGTGCTGCTGTGGGGGAGTGAGAGATGTGGGAGTCCCCTCTTCACACCATAGCCATAGGACAGTCTGCATCCCAAACCTCTCATCACCGGCACCGCCTCAGACCCTGCATCCTCCCATACCTCAACCCTCTGTCCTAGGCCTGAGCTGCTCATAACTGATCCCATCTCAGAGCCTACCCCCCCAGATGGAGCCCTCGTTCCCCTGCATCCTAACCCTCTGTCCCAGACCTGAGTCCCTTCCCACACTTCCATACCCTCGGCCCCACCCCCACCACTTCAATTTTATTATGTGCACCACCAACATGAAGGTGATGTCACAGCATAGCAAAATTCATTCTGCACATGTATGGGAAAAATTAGAAGGAACTCTGCTAACTCCTATGTCCCATTGCTGTAGGATAGGCAATAGGTGGGGAAAATAGCAGCTTCATTTCTTAAGTTGGTGAGCAGATAGGAAAAACAGAAAGTCCTGAATAGTTATCTTGTTGCTTAGAACCAGCTGTCCAGGCTCTGATCTCCCTGGGCTGAGTTTACCCAGCTCCCTTCTCTGTTCCCACAGCATAACTAGCCTTCTGAAAGTAGGAGAAAGAGTATGCACTGGCATTTTGACAGATTAATGGAAGAAACTGCTAAGTTAATAAAGCAAGATGGAGATTTTTACTTTTATTATTATTATTATTATTATTATTATTATTATTGTAGATTCCCTGATTAGTACTTTTATCAAAGATTACATTGGAAAAGAGAATAAAACTTCTAATGACATGGTACTAAGGAAATATAGATTAAGATACTTCGTTTGAAAATGGAAAACTGATTTTTAGCATAGGTCACTGAAAATTATCTGTGCTGCTCTAATGTCTAAAACTTATGGGCAGATGTCCCATAGATATATAGTAAAAACCATGAGTTATATGCCCAAAAGTTGCATTAAGTCCTGTAGTAGAAGCTTCTTAATTTGGTGATGAGAATACAGTTCCTACAATGAACTAATCACCCATAGATTTAGAAAATGGTTATTGTAGCAGCTTTTGTCATTCTTTCAGGAATAGAAGCGAAGAATGATGTGGTGATAACTGAGGAAGATCGAGTGGGCCCTCTACCCAGCATCCTGACAAAAGGAATAGATTGGTTACTTTTATTCTCTTTATTGTTTCTGGCTAGTTTTATTATGTATGCTACAATTCGGACTGAGAGCATTCGTTGGCTAATACCAGGACAAGAGCAGGAGCATCAGGAATAAGTTGAGATAATGACATGAGAACATATTTCATGCCTACAGATAAAGCAGAAATTTAGATGAAGTGAAATTGCATAAGCTTCTACAGTGAAATAGCTGGTTGTAATTTACTAGTAATTAGTTAAAAACAGTTTTGTTCATTAACTACTATATCTGTTAAGCCGAACTGCTGGTAATTAAGCAAACAAATACAAAAAGATTCCACAGAAGGATTTTTATTTATTTAGGAAGTAATAACAGGTTTACAAATGCTTGATATGTAAATATCAGAAATCAATAATTATTATGAAGATTGTTTTAATAAACTGATATAATTCTCTCTCTTAGGGAAAATGTTAATTTATTGCAAAATTTTACTTTGAACTTGTAATAATCAGTAGTATTATACAGTAGGATCTTGAAATATTGCAGATGATCTTTCTAGGGAAAGTAAGAGTTCTACAGCCAGTGGTGGTACTTTGGCAGCAGTAAAATACAACCACTTCCACTATTTTGGAATTGAGGGATCTCGAAAAGGAAAAACACATTTAAAGCTCAAGACCCATGGCTGTACAAATTAAAACAACATACATGAATAAATGCCATGTACTGTATTGTATAAAATTACCAGAAATTACTAGCTATAGGTGTAACCTACATGGAAGATGTCCATGTTTTGGCTTCTTCCTCACTGCAATAATAAAAGGTTAAAGGGTAGTGTATGACCTTCAGTAAAGGTATTCAGCATTTTTAAACAGAGGTCACCAAGACAGTTCAAATTGGTGTTTTTCACCAAGGGGAGATTCTGTCACTCAAATGGAAAAAATTACAGCAGAACCTCATAATTACAAACACCAGAGTTTACGACCAATCAACCATATACCACCTCATTTTGAACAAGAAGTATGCAATCAAGCAGCAGAGACAAAAAAAAATGCAAATACTGTACAGTCCTGTCTTAAATGTAAACTGCTAAAAATAAAGGGAAAGTTTATAAAAACATTTGACAAGGTAAGGAAACTGTTTTGGTGTGTTTCATTTACATTAAAATACTTAATAGCGGAATTTTTCTTCTGCATAATTAAGTTTCAAAACTATTGGCTCAATTTGTGTAATTTTGAAATAATACAGTAATGTTATTTTCAGTTGTAAACATTTCAGAGTTACAAATAATCTCCTTTCCGAATCATAGCTCTGAGGTTCTACTGTATTATTAAAAGAGGTTTTAATTTATTTAGTAATATATTTCACTAATACATTATTAAGAATAGTTTACTCCTATCTGATATTTTAGTGGTATCTACTGGAGGAAAGACCACTTCCAAAGTACTTTCTTACTGATACTTGGGATTTGAGGGAAGTGTGTTTTGCACTTGTTGGTTAATTTTAGCAACAATAAAAATCTTCATTTTGCAGCTGCAGAGAGAGTGATCATTTGGCTTTGAGGTTTGGCTGTTTGATATCCTTGATTTACCGTGCCCTGTGAGGGATCTGCCTCTTCTTTCTGAGGATTATGTAAAAGGCATCGTTGTGCATATATTCTTCTGTGCTGTCCTATACAAACTTCACTTAATACTTGGTTTTCTGCAGCAGGGTTTTAATGTTAGCTTTTGAGATAAGAATTCACTTCCTTTCCACTAAGTACTTATTTCTGGAAGAAATGTAGCCGTGTTAGTCTGGGGCATTTTATTTCTGGAAGGACTAAGAATGGCCATTCAGCATTACATGTAACTTCAAGTACTGATCTCCCACCTAAAATCAGTAGAGCTAGTCATTAGGAAATGTTTGTATTTATAAATCTTTGTTCATTGACGACTTGAAAGCCTCAGCTACTGACTATACACATAGTTGATAAGCTTATTCTAGTTATGATTTTTAGGATTAAATCTGATTTTATTAATTTTGAGACTCTAGAATAAGATGCAGTTTAGCTTGCCACATGTTCTCTACTTGTCTGAATGAGCATTGCCATTTTGTACAGTAGACATTTGCCATAACACCTGAAATGAAGTAAGCAAGCAAACTAAGGAGAAAACATGAACAAAAATCATTTACGATGTCTAATGGAAAGTTCAGTATTCCTAGCATGAGTTGGTAGAGATTTTCTTTAATTTACGGAGAGGTCCTTCACCACTATTTTTGTTAAGGTTTTTAAAAGGTGAAATGCTGCAACTCTAGATATTTTGAAGCTAAAAATCACTGTGTTATCAGTAGAAACTTCAGCAAAAGCAGCTGCTTTTGTGGAAAAACTTGCCAGCTGTCTACACTGGCTGCTTGAATTTCCTCCAGATTCTCCATTTCAGTAGTGAGATATACAGGGTCAGATTCTGAGCTGGTGTAATCTTTGTAGCTCTACTGGCTTCAGTGAAGCACCAGTTATTTACATCAGCTGTGAAGCTGTCCCACTTTTCATTTCCATTTTGGTTTGCATGGTTAATAGAGATCTGTAGAATATTCTTGACTAAAGGTAAAGATTTTCCTGAAGACTCTACAGAATTTTATACTACATTGGACTACATTTACCTTCCTGGATATTGCCATCTAGGTATATATTTAAAACAGCCTGGCTACGTCTAGACTGGCATGACATTCCGCAAATGCTTTTAACGGAAAAGTTTTTCTGTTAAAAGCATTTGCGGAAAAGAGCATCTAGATTGGCACGGACGCTTTTCCGCAAAAAAACTTTTTGCGGAAAAGTGTCTGTGCCAATCTAGACGCGGTTTTGCGCAAGAAAGCCCCATCGCCATTTTCGCAATCGGGGCTCTTTTTGCGCAAAACAATACTACGTTATCTACATTGGCCCTCTTGCGCAAATGCTTTTGCACAAGAGGGCTTTTGCCAGAACGGGAGCAGCATAGCATTTCTGCAAGAACACTGACAATCTTACATGAGATCGTCGGTGTTCTTGCGGAAATTCAAGCAGCCAGTGTAGAAAGCTGGCAAGTTTTTCCACAAAAGCAGCTGCTTTTGGGGAAAAACTTTCCAGTCTAGACGCATCCCCTATGAAGTTTCATCTACTACCAATATGCACTTAGAAAAATGTAAAAAGTGAAGAATGTGGACTTGATTGTGTATCTACTTTTTCCTAAACAGCATTTCTACACTGTACAGGTATGTAAAAAAGCCCTAGGTCTATGTTCTCTTTAATCATTCCATGGCAAAGGCAATTTTTGCATTTTTTTTTAGTGTAGAACCACATTTTCCAAGGCCACAATGTATATCTCAATTAAAACTGCGTACAAGCCTTCCTTTATAGAACACGAGTTCCATGCAAAATTGTAAAGCTTCCTTTTTGTAACCCCTGTTCAGTTTGCAAGGCTGTCTTTGCAGCCCGAACGTGAAACCAACCTCACTGGGCAAACCGAAGTGTATCAAAATAGGGAAGAGCCCGTGTGAAAACTGAAGCGTAAATGCCTAGCAATCCCTTGTGTAGATAATAACCGAAGCCACTAGCAGGCGGGAAGGGGTTCTGCTTGCAGCCTCAGGCTGCAGCTGGCTGTCCCTGCCCCTTCACAGGCGGCAGCTGCCGCTTCTCACAAAAGAGACGCAGGGCCGAGGAAGCTGGGCTTTGCCGCAGAAGGGCATGGACCGCATGCCCCGTGAAGGGGGAGGGAGCGAAGAGACCATTAGCCCAGCGCAGGGGAGCCCTGTGCATGAGGTAAGTACCATCCTTGTCGGGCTTTGGGGGGGGAACCCCTGACAGGGTTTCCTGGGCCCGCGCTGGGGGCGCTTCTCACAAAAGAGACGCAGGGCCGAGGAAGCTGGGCTTTGCCGCAGAAGGGCATGGACCGCATGCCCCGTGAAGGGGGAGGGAGCGAAGAGACCATTAGCCCAGCGCAGGGGAGCCCTGTGCATGAGGTAAGTACCATCCTTGTCGGGCTTTGGGGGGGGAACCCCTGACAGGGTTTCCTGGGCCCGCGCTGGGGGCGACCCTAGCAGCGCAGGCACTTGCGTAGGCCCCTGCGCTGGGCCCTTGGCGCCGTGAGGGGGCGGGGCCGCGGCCGCGCTGAGGCGATGCCAGGCGGCGGGGCCGGGCTGCGGCAGCTAGTGCTGTGGGGAGCGCGCCTGGCGGCGGCGAGCACGACACAGGGCGGCGGGGGACCCGGCGGGCGGGGCCCCTACCCCCAG